TATCATAATTTATCGTAGCAGCTTTTCAGGTGCAAATCTGAAATCTGTTTTGGTTGTTGATAAGTTTTGCCAAGTTTCATTTCCACTTTGTGCAGCACTTCATAAGAATAAATTAAAAGGATGAGGGGTTTTTTGCAAGTCAGGCTGTGACATGATTCACCCAGTATCATGACTCCTGACATAATTTTGACGACTTATCTCAGTATACTGTATCTGGTATTAGGTTTCCAGAAAGACTTATCTTTGAACACAACCAAATTCAAAGGTGAAAGTAAAACTTTACAATTACTATTAACAGTATATTACTTACACTAAAAAACAATATTAAATTATTATCTGAGTCTAACTCTTGAAGTGAAAACTACCCATACACACTTTTTGCCTTCCAGGTTGTCCAAGGTTTTTCAGTTGCTGTAAAAATGCCGAAGGCAAAGAGAAACTAAGCAAAGATTGTGCATGACACTTACTGTACAAATCTCTTTTGCTGTCATAGAAATGGGTGTTCTTATCTCTAAACACATTTCCGAAAATGCCACATAAAGTCAGATGCATATTGCAGTGGCATTAACACCCATACACTTCTGAAAACTCCCATGGTACAGTATATCTAATGACCATGTATTGAGGACCAAAGTTTCATGTTTCCACTAAAGGATAGATCCTCCTGCAGCACAGTCTCTCTGCTCATCACACTTGAGCTTTGACTTAGACCTTGCAGCCCAGGGAACAGATTGAAACTTACTGCTCCACCAAAACTGTATGCAATGGCAACCTGACTTTACATGAGGGTTTTCCATTCCAATACTTACCAGGGACAACCTAGCTTAGCTTCTGAAATCTAATGAGATCTGGCTACAAAATGGTAAACTAACTGCTTTGTACTTTATTTCTGTGCTACTGTCCATACTTTTGTTGGAATTCTGTACCCTCAGTTTTAAAAAGATGTCATCTAATTTAGTCTTCTGTGATTGTAACTCCACCTATGGTATTGTTGAATGGGAACAACAGGGGGCACCATTATTGTAGATTGAATTTCTAGCTCAATACTAAAACATTTCTGAGTTCAGTTCTCTAAAGAAAGCTAATTGCAATGCATAGTCATATAAATGTTCTTATTGATCATTTTTGGTTCTGACTAGTAATTACTGGATTCTTTTGACATATAACCTCTTTGTTGTAACAAGAATATGATCAGGATTATATAACAGAATCACTTATCAGGTAAAGCTTGCAGAATGTTGTTCTGGTTTATATACTGTAGTTTAATAAGATACTTAAAGGGATCACTCATATGTAATGTAAATAATATATTAAAATTAAACATCACAAAGAAATAAACGATCCATATCGTTATACTGTCGTATGCTACAATCCTCTTTTAACATTACCCCGCCTATATCCCGCCCCATCCACCACCGCACACACACACACTCCCCCTTAAGATACCCCGAATTGTTGTTGTTTTTTTTTAGTTGTATTTTGTGTGTTCTGTATAATTAAGTGAGTGATGTAGCCATGAATCATCCGTTTGGAATTGCTACCTTGCATCGCAGAATGGAATGACATCATTCACGGTATATACTGTAGGGTTCTCTTCAAGATGTTAAAAGATTGCTTTCGGGAAATCGACCGATTACTACGCCACTCCAACCATGGACAGACTGCTAGAGATTATTTACGCAGCGCTTGAATGAGAATACATCAGTGATACTGCAGCTGTAGAAAAAAAAAGTATTTTAACTGCATATGAACAGTAAGGTTTGTTTGTCCAATCCCTCTTTAGTATAGTACATGAGTTTGAAGTCAGCTAATACTTAGTGTTTTACATATCGCAGCACAAATCTAGGGCTAGTTTTTCAAACTTTAGTTGTTTTCTTACAAAGTAATTGGAGTGTAGCGCACTTATTGTATGGTGCAAACTGTAAATCGTTCCTTAAAGCACAGAGTCAGCAAAACAAAATGACTCTTACATTTATTTACAGAACTTGAAATTGTACATAAACTGCTGATTCATGAATAAACACGATCGATGCAGTGAAGCCGACAGCTAATAACCTGGAAGCCCTTTGACGCCTGTAAACCCTAAAATTAAGGATTTGGAATGCCTCGACACGCAACCTTATTCCACGTTGTGATAGAGGATGCGTAAGGAAATTACATTATAGACGGCTTTGTTTTCCTCGGATGCCAGATCGATTTTTGGTCCTTACAGAGGTAACAAATAGATATACCCCACAAAACAACCTATGTTCTCATATGTTACATAAATCTCTAAAGTTTAAGTCACCACTGCCGTTTATGTGTTTCATTCTCCAGACTTATTAAGGAAGAAATGAATATTGTGATTTACAAGTTTACTTGAAAAATCATTAAGAACCACAACTTCATCATACTGCCTATGTAAATATTGAACGCACGCATATTAAAAGTACTTCCCTGAAGTTTACCTATTCTAAATTATTAATAAGAGCACAAATTATTAGTTTATGTAATGTTTGCGCCACTTTTAACAGTAGGGGGTTGAGGGTATGACCTTCATTAGCAGGTTAATTAAAACGCTACTGTTTCACTCAGTTCCATCAAGTATTTTTCGCTTATCTTTATTTCTGCGTATAAAAGGTGTAAATTTAATGAAATGACTTTACGGGATACTGCGTGTTAAGTGGCAGTGTCCATATGTGAATTGAAAATGATCTGCTTCAAGCTGTTAAAAGACACGGGTCACGCAAGAATATCAAAGGTGTTTTAGTTTGTAGAACCAAATGCAGAACAAATGTAGTTGCAGTTACGAAATGCTAAATTTAGACCTTTAGCACACTAGCTGGTTTCACAACTGCGTTTTCAAATACTGCGGACATGCCATCGTGGGTGGGAGCTGTTCTTCAGCACTACACTAACGTTCTCCAACTGGTTTATCAGTATGTACAGTAGTAGTGCAACGTCTCAACACATAAAACTGTCTGCTGAAAAGGCCTAACGCACAAAAGTACTGTAGTGTTTTTAATTGCTAATTGGAAATTTCGAGAATTGTTACTGAGGCAATCACAAATTATAAGGAATTGAAACATGTATAATGCGTAGCATTTCCAAATAACGAAAGCAACTATCATTTACACTATCGCTTTGTAATTACTGTAAACTGCTTTTGAAGTTTCACAAAAAAAGATAAAAACTTAATTCTAAAACCCTGAAATCACATGATAGAAAATATAAAGGATTATGTAGTCACGTGCTATACGTACAGTATTTTGCCATGTACAATATCTACTTGTTAATGCATATGGTTAATTAAATGTGACAACGCATACAGCCTTAAACCTTACCAACTCCAAAAACCGAATCCAATGTCTCATCACTTATCTTACATGGTCATTACCTCCTTATGCCGCAAGTATGATTTCATGATTTGAAATTACATTATTAAAACGTCACATGTCCTTTGAAATGTTTATGGCATGAAATGTCCTTTTACTGAAATGCTGGGAAATGTTACTACTATGTGTAATGGAAGGATATTCATCTTAACGGCCATTGCATTATGTGACTTTTTTAAACTTAAAATATTAATATATCCATTCTAAACGGTCTTTAATTCTGTAGCTGTAAACAGCAGTACCCAAATATGCAGTACCTAAATAACAGCTGTGTGCAGTTTGCTTGTTTTTTATGGTAGTGTGCTGAACACTTGAGGATTATGGATTTCGGTGTATTGGGGTACTTAGATTGGTTCCGTAACAAACCGATCATTGAAACGGAGGCGAATGACTATTCCGTTCGGTCGACTGAATACACTTCAAAACTCCAGCTTTAACGTGTATCAGACAGTCACATCATTGTCTAAAAGAATGGTTGTTTTGTGTCTATGTGTAACACAAACCTGGAGCCAGCACGTTCTTTGAAAACCAACAAGCAACATTTAGACATTTTTAGCACACAAGCTGGATGTTTTTTAATGTTGAAACCCCATAATATAAAATATTTATTTGTTCTTTTTGAACATACTGTACATTAATTTGACACATTAAAGTGCTGCACGCAGCAATATCTGTAAGAGTCTCCAAAAGTCTCTTTCAGAAATCTTTCAAAAGTTCCCCACACTACCTGCTTCTCTTGACTAGAATGATTGCGCATACAGTACTGTATGTTGTGCTATCTTTCTATCCACAGACACAAGCTTGTCACTAGGTCAGAGAAGAACTCTTAAAGGCTTAATGAAAACTCGTAGAAGATAACTTTCTGAAGACTGTGTCGTACTTATCTATCAAATCTTAAAGCAAAGTGCGAGCATCATCGAAGGTATAAGCAATCAGCATCTTTGTCGTTAGTTTCCAAGATTTCATGCCCTTTTGAAATACGAGGTAAATCAAAGCACTTGTGTGTGATGCACAGCTAAACAAACAAAATGAGTGTTCGTCAGTAGAATAGACACACCCGTTATGTAACACTTGTTCTCGGCTCGAATGTTTAACCGTTTCACTATAAAAAGCTTCTCAAGCCGTATCATTGAACATCCTCTTGTTGACATCTCTTTTGCGTTCACACTGAACACAACAAAACTGTGAAGTACTGTCGCTGTATAGCCATGCCTACTGTATATAAAGAATACATTTTACTTGCATACTTGCAATACTGGTATCCACAACTGCTTGATTAGAGTTTCAAGTGACCACGATTTCTTCCATATTAAGCTTCCACAAACTAAACCATGATTAAATTTGGACAGATGCGTGTTGCTCTTTAAGTTTCTTTTTTAATAGTTACATTTCTCTTCGTGGTGCATTACTCTGATACTTGCAACATGCAGCTCCTGGGGTATTGACAAGGCGATAAATTCTTCAGCATGTTGGACATATTTTACGCAGGTGTTCCAAATTACAATAAATGCAAAGAATAAAGGAACAAAAAAGTTGATAGAAAACATTAAACACACAGTTGAAGTGTATGCGTACAAGAATCATACAAGTTTAGCTTTCCTTAATAAGTTAGAACCGCAAACTTACCTATAGTGGTAATGACTGTGATTGCAAAGTAAAAAGAGCCTGCAAATTTCCATTGAACCCCTGCCCTGTGAGGTTCGGCCTCCATTATGATAGTCTCCAGATTACGGTAGTCCTCCTCGCTTATGTTATATTTCCCTTGGAGACGCTTTTCCTCGGCCTCAAGCTGCTCTTTCTCCCTCATTTCGAAATCGGACTCAAGAGCATCGAACACCGCCGCCCCGACCAGGAGATAGGTGAACGTGCAGATAATTAGGGACAGGGTCCGCACGTTCTGCCGCTTCATGGCCACCAGGAACCGGCGAGTGAGGGGCTCATGTCCCCTCGGATTCTCCAAGAAGGCGCAGCAGCAGCTGGGAAGGCTCCGGCAGCGATCGGACCCAGGGGGGCAGAGATCTTGGTGGTGGTGATGGTGGGTGCGATGGACGCTGGAGTGTTGAAGACGGTTGTGGTTTCTATTACCGGCTTCTTGATCCTGTTCCTGGGAAGAGGAGAGACACAAGAGGCTGCTCGATCGCCGGGACCAGGTGCCCTGCAGCCGAGAGACTCTGCGCAAGACCTGCCCAAACCAAGTCGTCCCAGTGCGTAGTGCCATCAACAGCTAGCAACGAGACAGCCGTGCTTTTTGTGGTTTACTAGGGTTAAAGGTGTAAATGGACGGAATTATACATACTAAATGCATAAAACAATGAATGAAAAATACTATCATGTATTTAAATTATATCTTTAGTTTCGTTTTACCGGTTGGTGTTGGAGACATTCTCTTTAGTTTATATATAAAAACAAAGGTTCCAGGGCAAAAAAGAGACGAAAGGAAGAACATCCTTGAACATTTTGTTCCGAAGTTTCTTGCAGTTAGCACCAACGTGTTCTCTGTCGCTACACTCAACAGATGTACAGCAGGTTTTTGAACGCAAAGCTCCTCTTTGGAGAAAATAAATTTAAGTTGCAAGTAACTGACACGCAATGCCATAAATATCAAATCAAACCGGGGATGGAAAAGTGCTCTCTTGTTCCTTTCTACAAGATCTTGAGAACAGACAGATGAAAGAGTTAAAGGCAACACAGCAGTAGACTTGAAAACTGCAACTCACTGGATGATCGCTGTGGGGGTCTGTGATCAGAGGCGATGATCCTAAATTAGATTGAACAGGAATCAAACATAAAGCAGATCGCCGTACAAAAAAAGAACATTCGTGGCAGTAAAGGTCTGGTCTTGAATTGCGTCCGAGGGAGATGTTGCATTCATAGAAATACAAAATAAAGAACTAGATTTGAGGAAAGCCGGTATCTCTTCAATCATCGAATGGACTAAAAGAAAAACACACTGGTCACTTAAAGAAGCACTCTTAGCTAGTCAGTCTCGAGTCTTTCGAAGGAACTACCGTAGCAAACCTTCGGATTTCCGCCCTGGATAAAATGCAGATCACGGTATACAACCACAGCAGCATTCAAGACAGCCCGAGAGATGGGTAAACGTGACAGAAAAAAAAGACTTGAAAGAATCCCCTTAAATGTTATTCAGTTGCCCCGTCTTTCTATTCAATTAAATCTTCTGAGACTGAGCACAAAATAACTGTGCAAGTATAGGACTGGTACTGTAGCTTGTCATCTGAATTTCCCGAGGTAAAAAAAAATCCTAAACAGGGACTCAAGAGAATCACGTTAAAGAATTGCAGCTCCTTTATAACATTTCCCCATTGATTATTAATAATATCAGGCTGAAGAAAATAGGACATTTTTTTATTTTAGGTAAGGTAGAAGGATGCATCGCGATAAAAGTGGACCAATAAGTTTCCCAACACCTTTGTCTATTAACAATGTAATAAGGATAAGAAGCTACTGTTTTGCCTTTTTTTAAGTTACTGTCAGTGGCTTCAGTTGCGAGATACTTGTAGCAGCTTCGTTGCCGGCGGCTTTACAGTTTAAGCCATGCCCTCCATACTTTCTCCTGTTGGACGTGTTTGCTGAAAAGGTCTGCAATATCCCGGGTTCCCCAGTCTCTCTCCAAGTCCCCCCTACCACTGCCATTCCGCTGTCGATGGCCACTCCTACTTATAAACATATTACAATTCTTGGGGTTTTGCAGATGAGCACGTGGTCCTCTGTTCTCTCTCTCTCTCTCCCCACCCCCCCATGACAAGGAACTGCGTTTTTTTAACCATGTGAAAAGGGAGAGAAGCGGCTGCAAACCGTATATCGCGCATTCGTGTTAGATTCACAACTGGAATTAAGTCTGGGGCGGAGAAGATGTTATAACTGATTTACATAATCGACATTACAAATCGCTTTGAGGAGTGGATGTTGGCATTGCAATAAAAGATGTTCTAGTAAAGTGTGATTCGGGTAATATGCTGAAGCTTTCAGATGTAGTCACGATACCAATTCTTTCCGCGCGTACTATTGGAAGTTCATTGTGGATTGTGAACGCAGGCGTGGATAACTGTCCATTCCTGCTTTTGCATTGTACTGTAAATCACTCACTGTTGCCAGCGTTGCTATTAAGACATTTATTGCATGAGACAATATATCAAAATAGCATTGCCAAAACGCCCTACTGTAATTGCAAACATACAGTACCCCGTCATATTTTACAGGTAACACATATTATAACAAAGTCTATTCCTGAATGCCCATGCTTTTAAAATAATTTAAGGAAATATGAAGTATTGCAAAGAAGAAATAATTGAGACTATTACAGTAAATAATAACACTCCAAGGCGTCAACAAAGATTTTTAAGAATATAATACGTAATAAGATTTATATTTCACAGCATGTTTGACTGTTATTGGATGCTTACGCATCGAGTTTTCAGAAAAGTGATTTAAACATAAAACACGCAAAAGTGAGTCATTGTAAATCACTTCTATTTACAATTATGTATAAAATCGCAAGACTTTATTCTCGGGTGAGAAAGCTAACTGGATATACTGTACTGTAGCACCAACTTGATGAATGCGTTTCTAAATAATATCAACAGAAAGAAAGTGATTTTACTGACACAACATACGGAAACAAGATTAGAAAACATACTGTGGGTTACATGCGTCCACAATGTGTTGCGTAGAGGAGAATAAGATCAAGGTTGCTCTGTTTATATCATAAAGTGACTGCGCAATAATGATTCCAAGCAAGATGAAACGAACAAGCAAAATGTGTTTTTTCCTTAAAAATTGACCAAAATACAGTTAACGTATACTGATTTTTAAGATCTGGTTCAAGGGAACCACCAAAACCAATCCTGTCTTCTTTTTTAGTTCATACATTTCAAATAGTGGGCTTATGATATTTTGTTACCCACCTGATTACAATGGAGTAACTACAAGTCGACTGCAAACTTTCTCTCTTGAAAATTACTTAAATAACCGCCTTAACTGAAGGTGGTGGACTGGAAACTGATGTGGGGAGATGTGTTTACGAAGAGGTACTGTAGCTGATAAGAGTGACAATAAATTACAAAAACTACAAGTTGCAGACTTAACGCAATTTGTGTTGTAACAGCGACACAACGACTCCGCGAAAAGATCAACAATAAGCTGCTTTTTAAACTTTTACATACAAAATAATAATTACTCTATCTTGTTTTGTGGAGATTAATATAATTTATTAAAAAATCCTGCCCGAGCACAAGCGATAGCATTTTTTCCAGTGTTGTGCAGATTATAATTTATATTATTGATGTCAATATGCAGTATTTTGTCAGTGTTATTTGGAGTCCAGAACTAAAGCCCATTCAAAAGTGGTCTTCTGTTGATTTAAATGTAAAATTTCTTGTATGCAATAGAAGCACAGTTATATTTAATAAGTCATTCAAGGTCAAGGTTACTAAACAAGGAACCATACTGTAAATGTACCCTTGATTCCCTTTCCTTATTCAGAAGGATAAATATTTCTCTGTACTTCTGCGGTCAGTGACCTAGACAAAAAACTTGCATATCAGTATGAAAAAGACCACTGTATGTCACCGACACTGAAACTGTGGTTTACGTTTGTCCAAGAATTGCTCCACCAAAACTACAGTCCCTTATTCACTGTGATTAAGATTGCAAGTATATATGATTTAGGATTGCTTTTCCTATGTTTAATCCAAAATGTATTTTCATATTCTTACACACCTCCAGAACAGAGCAAACTTTCTATGTGTCAGAATCAGAGTGAATGGGACACAAGTACAGTTTTTTACCTCTCACTAAAATAAAATCCTATTCCTTTATTTGTAGTGAGATAGGGAAAATTAAATGCAAAATAAAACATTTAAAAAACCAAGCATGTTCATTTTGTCTTTATTAAAGACGGAAATGTCATATGTTTTTCTCAGGCTGCTACAAACATCTAGAATTTTGGTGTAGATGCAAAATGTATAAATCTTTCTGAACAACAACTGAGGGAGGAAAAGATAAATTACTTATTTTCTTTTGTAAGTTAAATATTTTTTTCTGATTGTTATTATTACACAGAGCAGTTATATGTGTGTAAATGTAAGAAAATTTCATATTTCTACTTTCATATTTGCTGCAAATAAGGAAATATTTCTTTTGTGATTTAGTTTAGGATGTTGGCAAATGCTAGCACTGGTGATTTTTTTTTCTTAATCAGGTTAAATAAATGTTATGTTGCGTTTGCGGACTTGAAATAAGATTTCTTGGTACATTAAGTTTTTAGAGAGGCATTACTGGAGAAACACAGATGCAAATTTGGTGCTTTTACTAGCCAATTTTCTGAATTTCTGTTTGTTATGTTCTACTTTAAGAATATTCTACTGTAAAAAAACTGAAGTACTGGCTGAAAAATAATCACCATTCAGGTGGGGTAAGAAAGGAGGATTGTGTTTTGTTTACGGCTCTCTTAATCTATTTGAACTGATTAAGGAACGGAGAAATGGTCATTTTCTTCACCTTTTTCCTTATTGAAATAAAATACGTCAAATAGTGTTAACAGGCACAGTAATGCACCCATCCATCCATTTTCTAACTGCTTTATCCAATTCAGGGTGATGGGGAAGCCAGAGTCTATTCCAGCAAGCAACGGACATGAAGGAGTATTCACCCTGAAAAGGGCTCTAGTTCATCACAGGCCAGACACAAACACAAACACACATACACATAAACCAGGACCAATTTTCCCAGAAACCAATTAACCTACCAGTATATATTTGTAGGAGAAAACCCGAGCACAAGGAGAATATCCACAGGAACACAGGGAGAACATAGTGTACAAACTCCATGCAGATAGCACCTCAGGTTTGGAATTGAACCCAGGGCCCCAGTGCTCTGAGGCAGCATAGATAACCGCTGTGACACCATGCTGCCAAAATATGTATAAACATTAATCTTCTTGCAAGTGTAATTAACTTAAGTCTATTCCAGCTGTTTTTTTTTTCTGTTTCTCTTTTTCGATGCCAAATACTTAAAATCCTTGAGACAAAACACTCTGAGAGTAAATCCAGGGGTGTTCACAGATGTCACAAAAACACAGACAAAAAGATTGTGCAAAAAGGGGTTTGGTTACTTAATGCCCTATGTACCAAAATTATTACATTCAACACAAGAGCAGTTTTAAGGATTTAGTAAACGCAAGACTGTTTTATATTGTCACAGACAATGTAAAAACATTCAGAGCAGATTTAGACAGACTAAACAGGTCTCTAGTTATGTTTATGCCTTATAATGATCTTTAATTATAATTTCCATTCCACAAGATGCATAAAACACTAAATTGCACCAATTGCATCTAAGCTAATCAATAAATAAAATATTAGAAAAGATGCAGACGATCTTTAAATGTTAACATCATCGTATCGGGAAGAAAAAGCATTTTAAACTAATGCATTTTTTAGTTTAGTTTTAGGTTTAAGTTTAACAAATAAAAACATTCGTCCTTAATTTCCAGAGTGGACAAGATTTGGAAAAACTGCTCACAGTATAGAGAGTGAATGGATTAGATGAGCACACTATCTACAGTTTATTTACTTAGAAAGGAAATTGAAGCCTCTGATACTATGCATTCTCAAGTCAGAATATGTTCTTGTGATGTTTTAATCAATATGGGTCATTTGTGGCTTGTTATGATAGCTTCACGTTAGTATTATTTGTTTCTAACACCGGTAGAAATAATGCAAAAAGTGCAAAAAGTTGGATTAATATTTCCAAGCGCTTTGGACTCCAACTGTTAACAGATTATATTTAGCGTATACAGTAAGTTCAGAAGTGAATATTTTGCTGTATAGTTTTGTGACTGAGGGGCCAGAGTTCTGATCATGTTATGTACAAGGGGAAGTTCAATGTACTCAAGTTTGGGCAAACTACCCACTCTATATATAATGCTTTAGCTTTACAGTTGGATCACATTTGTTCACAAATCAACCTTTCAGATTTTGATTCTTGTAACTAGTGATAATAATATATCTAAGCATTCTAATCTCTAATAATACTTAGATATAAAAGGGAAATAAACCTAATAAAAATAAATAAGAAAAGCACAAGACAGTTATGCAAATTAGTCATAGACCCTTTTGTTCTACTTCCTAATTGCATTTCTAATGACTCATTGTATTAAAAAAAAACACAGTGAAGGTGGAACAAATTAATACAGCAAAGAGCAGATCCACAAGTAAAACCAATCTGGGCCTCAGAGCAACACTATATTATGGAAATAATTCCTGGACATGTCGTGGCAGAAAATAAAATCAGGAAATATCACGGAAAGATCACAGAAAAACAAAATACGCACTGTAAGTGTATTGCAACAGTGCTATACAGTATGAACTGTATGAGTTTTCTTGAGTAAAACAGTGGTTGGATAATATTTTCAACAAAAAAATGGAAAAGCACTGAGTGAGCAATGTTATCTGCTGTTGACACCGAAAGACAGGGAAACTTCAATCTGCAAATATAGCATTTGCAGAAGCTGACTTCTGCTTCTGATTATTTAAACTGGTCTCTTTCTGTTAGGAAAACGCTTTAAAGTACTCAACCTATACAGAGAGAAGCTCAAACAATAAGTATCACACCGATACTTAATCTATTTTTCCCCACACATCTGTAAATCTAAAACATTTCTTTGCAGACACAGTACCTTTGA